GGTTGTCTGTCCTTCCACCTTCATGTGAGGCATAATGAAGGAAACATGAACTGGCCGAAGTTTGAGGCCAATGAAAATGTGGTTCTACAAAGGTGACTGCTACTGAATCTTGATGTTAGATATGTACCGAATGGCAGGCATGTAATAGGAAAAGATTGTGGTGATCTCGCCAAATTCATCCCCATCAAATTCATGTGACGCGCTCATCTCGAATCAGCTGCGGAAAAAAAGTCCTACATAGAAATTATTTAGTCCTCTTTCATCATTGCCAGTGGACCGATCAGCAGAACCACACTGACCTCTCAGCTCCATTTCGGCACCTAATAGTCATGAAAATGGAGTGGAATGCGTCAGAGATGATTCTACAAAATGGGCTACACCAAGGTTCTTATTCAGAAAGAAAATACTGTTGCGACAACATCGTTAGCTTCAGCTCTGCGACAGAAGGTCGGACCTCCCACTTTTCTTCATTTGCAGAATCAATAACGCAGCTCTTTCAGAGCCAACCGGAGAATTCAATCTGAACAGCATTCCATTTGCCTTCTGGTATGACGAGCGCGGAATTGCAGCTGGAATCACTGTCCAAGTATTACGTCCCAACATCAAATACATCCCTTTATGTCAACGTCAACGTCAAGGTTACAGTATAAAGGCGGTGCAAGCAAGCCAACCACAGCTTCCACTGACTTCATTGCTTGAAAGCAGTCTTAGCTCCGCATTGAACTCTTTAATTCTGCATCACCATTTCAGGATGAGAGCTCTCGTTCTCCTCACCCTTGCTCTCGCTATTTGCGTGAATGCAGGTCTGCTCGACCTCAAAAGCTCTGCTGGGACCGTCAAGGGCATTATTAAAGAGAAGGTGATCGACAAGATAGAGCAGGCTGCTGATCGCATTAAGGAGGTGAGTTGCTACATGACTGTGGTGCACATCTTAGATGATTGCTTCAATTTTTCTAGGCCTTCAAAAACGATATGGCTGCTTTCAAGAAGAGATTAAGCGGATTCAGGGACAAAATATTGAAGAAGCTCGCGTTGACAAAGGAGCAAAGAGTGGCACTCCTAGAAAGACTTAAGGTTTTGAGTTCGATTAGGATTATCATTTCAAGTGGTAATCTTCAACTATTCAGCTTTTTCAAAAGAAAATCCATTGACAAAGTGCAACCAATGGGAGACTCAATTGAGGAGATCAATAGAAACAGCAAAATAGCCGGTGCTCTTTTCCAAGGAGATATGATCCTTTCAAAGTTGGTTTTTTAAAGATTTCACTTGCTCTTTTGCTGTTATGAAATAGAAGCAAGTGGACTGTAATTGTCAGGAGCTGTGCAACACTAGTCCCTTAATCTTAGTCCCTTAATAATTCGCTTTCTTCAGTAGGGTGATCCAAAGACTGCGCTCTCCGGAAAAGTGCTGTCTGAGGCGTTGCTTATCGGACTTGAAAGATGAAAAATTCAGAGATCAAGAGGACCAAATTATTGCCGAAATCAGCGACGGTACCCGCTCCAAGCGACAGGCCATGAAAGAAACAGAGTACCCTGGCAAAAGATGGCATCAAGGACTCAACTACTTCTTCGACAGTAAATTTTCAAGTCAGTCTCATAAATAGGAGCAATCATTGACCATATCGAGATAGCAAGACATGAACAGCCGTGTTTAGCCCCAGAAATAAAAAGTGTCTTCAAAAAGGCGGCGGAGCTGTGGATGAACAACACATGCATCGACCTCAGAGAAGAGAAATATGGTAAGAAACAATAAGATAACAAGAGCAGAGAACAGAGGATATTAGTCAATTTCAGCAAGAGACACGGTACGTGTCTACAAAGGGGAAGGGTGTTTCTCGTTCTTCGGCAGAATTGGTGCTACTCAGAGCCTTTCACTTGGTCCAGGCTGCGAAACGGTAAGGTTCAGAAAGCTCCGTGTTGAGCAATGCCTCTACTAAAAGCACGGAGAGTCTGAAAGATTTTTGAAAGCTTTGACCAACGCCTTGTTCGAATTTGATTATATAACGTCGGCTTATGCAAGACTAGAAAAGTATGTCAGTGCTC